ATTATTATTAATAATATTATTGTTTTATGTTGTGTGAATAAAAACAAACTTATAGTGGTGTAACTGCAGTAGTGGAAATACATTTTAATCCGATAGATAGATAGATAGATAGATAGATAGATAGATATGTATATATGTGTGTGTATTTATATCTTTTGTGTGACCTTATTTAACTAGGTTAGGCAGATTCAGTTGTGAGCTGTGCACACAACTGAATCTGCCTACACCACAGAATGAGCATAAAGGGTCCAGTATTCCTTTTCGGATATTTTGGCTGTATAAAGTAAATGCGAACCTAACTTTGGTTCCATGAAATGAGAATGTTCTCCTGGATGATATTATTGCATGTTTGCTGGCAGTCAGTATTGAATGTGCTTAGGCGGTGACAGGATCCAGGTGTAGCACATTCCTGTCAGTTGTGTTTTTTGTTTTTGCCCTCATTTCGGTCCATTTGAACTGATCACGTTAGTGTTCTTGTGCAGGCCTGCTTCTCCGGCAGATGGGAGGGGGTGTGTATATGTCTGACTCCATGCCAGAGGAGGAGGCAGCACAGACAGCTGAGCCACCTGCTCCTCCCTCCACCTCCTCCCTTTCTTTTTTTTTTTCCTTTCCTGTACGATGGAGGGGCTGCAGTGAGCTGGCTCTGGGTGCAGAAGCAGAAGAGGCGACGCGATGGTTACACCGGCCCAGCCCTTGTGCGAGAGCTGCGGCCGGTCCCTGCGGCCCCTGTCAGCATGACTGAGCCCTCGCCGCGCTCTCACTGCTCCGTGCTCAGCTGCTTTGTGAGTCTCCCAAGGTTTTAAAGAGATGGCAGGGTGGGCATGGAAAAGATCAGGGATTGCTCCTATGCCTGGGGGATGGGTTGCTAGGGTGATGGGAGACCTTCTAACCCGTCAATGCAATCATCTGACTTTGGGTCATAAAGGGCAAGCTCTCCGATCGCACTTGTTTTGTGAGATAACTGCGCTCTCTTTTATGGGAACCGGGAGCAGAAATGCTTAATCATGTCTAAATGTCTTGTCAAGTGACTGAAGAATCTTGCCGGTTGGCACTTGCATGCCAGGCTGCTTCTTTGTGTTGTACAGAGTGAGCAGTTGTGGAAAATCCTTGCTCACCACTCCCTTGCCGGGGAAACCCTGGCTGTAGATGTGAATGATAATTGTATGCTGTGGATATCCCTGTGCTTTGCTCTCCCTGGGATGCCCTGCTCTTCGTACAGCAGTATGTGGCACATATTAATGATCTCGGTTCATTAGTCACAGGACACATTCATTATATAGAGCGCCGTGGGAGTGGTCGTAGGTGGTGGATGGACAGAACGGCGTTTATGTCTTTAGGGAAACCTGTGAGCTGCTTCTCGCATATCCATTCCCAGGGATATTGTGTTCTGGCCGTGCATGATTGAGCTGAAGAAAGTACGTATCATTTTAATGGTGCAGAGGTCCTACCTGGCTAGGCCCAATGACAGAGGGCTATCTCTGTCTTCCAAGTACATCATCACTTGGCACAGGGGACTATTTAGATGTAGACCGGATGGGAATGACGCTGCTGCAAGGGCACCACGCATGCAATGTCTATTCTCTTACAACTTATCTTAATGTACACACTTATATTACTTTCCTATATCAACAGGGAAGTGAATTGTTATGGTTTCCTAAAAACTGACTCAAAGATGAATAGCTTAAAATATATTCCATTGTTTGACGTTTATAGGCCTCATTCACATGGGCATTTTGCCCCATTCAGTGTGCCCGTAGCTGCAGGAGGAATCATGCGGGCAGCTCATGCAAGTCTATGGAGACACAGGAGCTGTGTGTCCTCATGCTGCTTTTCTGTAGCAATTTTGACAGCCGCGCATAGACCTGGACCCACCTGGTCTATGGCTGCGGCCGTACACCGTCTGTGGGGTGTATGAGGGCACACTGCACTTATGCTTTCATAGTTACATGAGCTGCCACAAGCTTCTTCATACAGCTCTGGGTGCATAAAAAATGGCCCTTTATGCTGTACAGGGCAAAGCGCCCCATGTGAATGAGGCCTGAAGAGAACCAGTCACTGCTACAACTATGCAAGAATCTGTATGTTCAGTCTTCCAGTGATGATGAATGCTAGTGCATAGATCTGAAATATTTACATTTTGGCTTCTTATTTATTTGTAGCTGTTTTGTCTGAGGAGGACTGTAGTTCCTGGGAATTAAAAAGTGACCAGAAGGATGAAGGTTGCTGCTCTGCCAACTGCCTGACCTCAGGCTTGTAACACATGCTGTCTCCTGTGTGTGCATAATACTATTCTATTATAGATCCCTGTGGTTAAAGCGTGCAAAATAAAAATTGCGAGCTGGTAGGCTTTTATTGCAGAAGAGACTCTGCATGTCTATTCTGCAATAAATGATTCTTGCTTGCCTGCTAGGCAGTTTATTCAGACTGGACACTGAGCCACGCATGCGCAGCTCCGTGTACAATTTTGGGTGCCATGTACCTGGGCAGAGGTTATATTATCCTGAGCCGATCAATCAAGATTTCAAAATGCGCAGCAGACTTTAGCTCCGCTTTTAAGGGGAATATAAACAGGGAATCTGTGTTTATTGCTTCTATGGTTACGTAGGAGCTAGAGAATAGCATGTGTTATAAGCATGACTTGGTGTATGTCAGGACAAAAAAAAAAAAAATGGGACGTACATCTCTGCAATGCTTGCACCCAGGTTTTATCTTTTTAAAACCATGCAAGTTGCAAAATATACTTCTTGGTGCACCAGAAATGCGCTCCAAAAAAGTATGGCTAACCGCACTTCAAAGGTAGAAGTACGTCTATTGACGCACGTGCAAAACATGCTCATTGCGACATTTTGGGGTCACGCAGGATCCCCTTAATCAGATGAAGGGGATCCTGCGTGACCCTGAAACGTCGCAATAAGCATGTTTTGCACGTGCGTCAATAAATAGACTTACTTCTACCTTGGCGTTCCGGTGTCAATACTTTTTTGTATTACTGGACGGTAGCCATCCGTCGACTGCCGATGCACCCAACCGTTCTTATTATGGATAAGCGGTCAGGAGTGCAATGGGTATATGGATTGTAGAAATGCACTCCACTCTCAAAGATGGCCATACGCTTGAAGTGACTTCAAACTCGGGAGTTAATCTTAAAAATGTTGTCATAGTTCTCCTTTTAACAAAAATGTATCTTATTTGTGTATCACTCGGCTGTAGATCCTCCAATCATCTCTGAATTGGTGCTGACATTGTGGAGTGAGCTTGGAGGGGTGACTACTTTGCATCACACCCAGGGAGCATGGGGAACAAAAGTAGTCACCCTCCAGGAGGAAGGACTGTGTCCGCACCAATTGAGAGATGATTTGAGGATCTACAGCCGAGTGATTCACAAATGAGATACATTTTTGTTAATAGTTAAGGTACTTGAATGCATTTTTAAAGCAGACCTTTTACAGTCAAAAATCTAATTCTACCAATGCATCCCTCTTTGTATGATGATTAATAACATAGACATGTCAGGTGTAAAATGCTGTTATAGTGAAAAACATACACTTGCAGAGCATTCACTTCCTGCTTTTGAAAGTGCAAAATACTTCAGTTTGTCTAAGCAATGCACACTGGGATTGCCTTGTCATCAGCAGAACATCGCTGGGAAATCTCCTCTGTAATCTCAGGGAAAGGCATTTTCCTCCACTGAGATGATGTGCATGGTCACATGTCTAGTCACATTTGCCAGAGTCCCAGAAAGTAAAGAGAGCTATCATAACCTGTTCTTAGTAAACATGGCCACTGTCAGAAGACTGGGGAAGAAAACTAGGTATACAAAGCCGGAAATTATCTAGAAGTATGTGTTTAGTAATGACAAGCTACAAACAAACATTTCTAAAGGTGTTTGTTGTTATTTTAAAGATAAGGGTAAAGGTTCGCTTTAAGGTTTAACCTTGCTTTTGAGTCTCACTGTAACTGATGACAAAGCTACTAGCTGCAGATGAAAACATAGCAAGCAAGATGGGTTGGATTATATTGCTAAATGAAAGTTTTGACCTCTTAAGAAAAAAGAGTAAATGGAGCATATGAGCTTGGCCACCTTCTTTCTCTCCTCCATTCTGTTAGTGTAGGTCTAGGAAGGGTTTTACCAAGGTCTCCAACAGATTTACCACTGTAGATAGTCACATCTTCTCTCAAAATTCACTCAGTTAGGAAGTGGTCATGGGCAGGTTTATATTGTTGTAGGGCTATTTTAGAGCAGCAGAGGGAGGAATTTATAAAGAAATCTGCAGTCTTGAATGGGGAACAAAAGTAGCCACCCTCCAGAAGGAAGGACAGCGTCGGCACCAATTGAGATGATTTGAGGATCTACAGCCGAGTGATACACAAATAAGGTCCAGTATTGTTAATAGTTAAAGTACTTTGTTTTTATTTTATTTTTTAGATTTAACGCCTGGGAAAAAAAGACAGTACACACAAACCAGATGAGGAATAAAGGAGCATGGAGTACCTTGTGTTAATCTAGCCTAAAGGGCATATATGGAGACTTCTGCAAAGGATAACTAAAATTGCACAGAGCAGTCGTTATTTGGTTAATCGTTTCTGCGCAACCACTATAGATGCCCTGGATCTTTCCTTTTTCCACAGCAGTCTTCTTGCTGGGCTACATGGCATGCGGGACTTTTAGTTTTACATTAGCTTGATAGCCGAATGTTAAATTACAGATCTTGTATATTTGGGGTATATTGAAGTAACATTAGGTCCTCTGTCTTTCAGGCAAACATTTTATTCCATGTTTGTTTTTCATCAGGGTGAAGAGCCTCCCAGCCTGGAATACATACAAGCCAAGGATCTGTTCCCGCCCAGGGAACTGGTGAAGGAGGAGGATAAGTTGCAGGTACAGCTCTGACATTTCTGGAATGTGAAGATGTAGTTCTAACTCTTGCAAATGTATACAGTCTGGCAGGGGCAACTGTTCAAGAATTTAATGACCTGACTTGACTATCGTTCTCATTAGTATCTAGTCCAGTGGTTGGCACATACTTTTTAGCAGACAGCACACTTTTTTTTCATAAGAGAGGCGCCAGTTATACACAGTAGACTGATTTCTGGCAATACATGCCCATTTTTAGTTTCATGAAGCCCATGCTAAGATGTTTTGCACAGACCATTAATTATTTTCATCCCTGCCTTGAAAACTTAAATGTGACTAGAGATTCGGGAATCAAAGAAAGAGGAAGCAACACATCATCTTTCAGGAAGTGCACTCAATGTTATAAGCCCGTAAGGTGGCCTGTGTGTGCCCTGAGGGATCAGTAAGTTGTACAGAACTCAGATTAAGGTAGCGTTAAAATGCAATGATTGGATTCATTTGTTGGTTGGAGTTACTTGTTTAGCATACTCTATAAAATCTCAACGGGGGCTCATTCATTATTAGTTCTTAAGAAGATAAGAATGCTACTTTCACACCAGATGACCCAGACAGAGGCAGAACGGTGGTGCTATAGCCATGTTCCAGTAGTTTTGTGCACTGCTCGGTATAATGCTGCTTCAGGCCTTGTGTAAATATGACTGTATAGTGGATCATTAATATGACTGTATAGTGGATCATTAATATGACCTTACTGAATATTTAACCCTGCCTATGCTTACAGGATTTTTTTTCAGTGTGACGATTTTAAGATAAAACCCACAGATTTTCCTATCATGGTGGGCCTAGGGCTTTGTCTACGAAGATGTAATCACACAGAGCAGACTAAGAATGACCTTCTTCGTCTGCTCAAGGGGCTCTATCGTCGCGGGGGGACCCCAAAAACCACGGCGGGGGGGACACGATCGCTGCCGCCGCTCGATTTTAATACAAGGGATCTAATTAGATCCCTTGTATTAAACGAGCAGGAGGGTCTCCCACTGTACATTCAGCTCTGGTTGTCAGGAGCAGGGCTGAATGTACAAAAAGAAACTACTCGTCCGGCGCCTGAAACTGCATGTCCCGGGCGTCTGGCGATGGGTATTTCGCTCCATAAGAGCCAAGCTTCAGTATCTTGCTAGTCGGCCCCACTGGCTCTCAAACATCTGAACAATGCCTGCATCCAATCGGACTGTTCAGGTATTTTGGGAGCTAGCGGGGCAGATTAACAAGATACTAAAGCTTGACCCAGGTGAAGATGACTCCATCCACACAGTAAAGTGTAGATGGAGGAATCTGTTGCACCTTTTCCATCTGACCACAGAAAATCTGCAGATAATTGTAAGGAGTATTGGCATTGGCACCTTAAGAGAGCTAACTCTCCATTTTAGAAGCCACTAAACAGCTGAGTTGGCTCCAGTGTTGCTGTAAGTAAAGAAGGCCTTTGGACTTTTGATAGAAAGTTTGAGAAGTGATTTATTGTGGGACACTGTTCGGTTATTTATACCACCAGCTGCTATTATCTATTTCTTTTCAATCTTCTTGATAAGCCAGCAGGTTAACTAGCCTGCATTAAAGCCAGCAAAGTATTGCATAACCTCTGGACATTTGGGATCATTGTGGAGCAGTGAATGGGTTTTAATGTCTTTTTGTTGTTATTGGAGCTTGACTTGAGTAAAGGTGGCAGAAACCCTGGACATTTAACCTGAGCATATGAGGAAGAAATACAAAATTAGAGGTTGCCTTTAGTTACTACCGCATGTCTATACATGCCAGTGGATGCAAATGATATAGGAGGTGAAGTCTGAGCTTGGTCCTGCATGCCTCTCTCCCGAGCCATCATGGTGACAATCACGTTAATGACTATTAGGAAGACTGTGAATGCCAGAAGAGTAGCTGTAGTTTTACAGGAATAGTCAAGATTTGCATATAGCTTCAGTTACCTGTATCTCTAGATCTAGTGATTGCTTTGACATACAACTTTCTGTACAAGGTAGCCTCCATGTATGTATATTTCAGGATATTTTCTGTTTACATCACCTATGTGTGTAACGGGTTTGCATTAAAGAACACTGCTAAGCACTTTTGCATTTTGACTTAAGGGGAACTCCAAGCGCTATTGCATCTTAACTTGGCTCATATTAATTAAAAGGGAAAAAAAATGAAACTCGGAGGCATGAGAAACCCTTGGCCTGCATTCACACTTGAGTGACATGAAATATGCAATTTTTCAGCTCATTTTTGTTTAGCTCGTTTTTTTGCATTCGCGTACATATTCACATGGTTTAATGAGCAGAGTGTGGAACATAGATGTTAATGGACAAGTGCGTTTTATGCGCGCAAAAACATGCAAAAAAAGTGCCAAAACGCAGCAAACGTGCATTTCCATTGAAGTCTATAAAACCAAGTAGCACAGAATCTGCCAAAAAGAAGCCCATGTACCTTCTTTGCTACAAGTGATAATGCGCTCAGATGTTAACATGGCCATAGAAATAAATGGGACTTTAGGGGGGCTTAATTTTTTTATTTTTTTTTGAGCACAAGAAGCGCTACAACACTGTGTGACAAAGGGCTTAAAGTGACACTAAACTCTTGTTAAAATTATAGGGTTATTAAACCCTCAGTTTTTTTTTTTGCGTATATCTACTGCAATGCAAAAACTTTTTTTTTTTTTTTAAATCCCTTTCAAACGTGTTAATACTTACCTGTGTCTTCACCGTGCGCTCCCGTCTGAAAATGTGAAAATTCTCAGGCAACCGCAAAGCATCTTGGGGCGGGCGCATGCGCAGTTCAGATTTTGGCCGGGAGACGAGGGGAGACGCAAGGTAAGTATATGGACGCGTGCACCTGCATGCAGACATCAAGGGACAGGAAGTATCGGCAAGCACAGAGAAGTCAGCGCTGCATCGGAGACCCGCAACAGCGCTAGAGGGACAGATAAACGACAGGAAATAAGATGTCCGGATTAAGAGACATCATTTTAAGGTGAGTGCTGACATTAACTTTGGGGGGAGGGAAAAAATGTTATGCTTTAATGTCGCTAAGTTAAATCTTAATGTAATTAAGTACCTTAACTATTCAACAAAAATGTATCTTAAAGGAGAACTATGGGGTTAAGTCTTTTCCCCATAGTTCTCCTTAGGGTAACGGGAGGACACAAACTAGCGTCCTCCCGTCACTCTAGGCTCAGTATACCGCGAGCTGTAGCTCGGGATCCGCCCAGCTGCGTGACTGACAGCTGGCTCTGCCTATCTAAAGGCAGAGCCAGCTGTACCCGCCCACTACCGCGTCCGTTCCGCCAGTCAGCGCTGGCGGATCGGGGAGGGGGGAATCCAGCCCCTCCCCTGTCACGGCAGAGAGCCGTGACAGGATCGAGAGGTGAGCGAACGCCGGTATGTGTTCGCTCACCTCCCGATCTACTGAGCCGACCTGTGACAGTCTCATTGTCACAGGTCGGCTAGAACTATGAGGTGAGTGAAATTCACTCGCCTCATAGTTCTCCTTTTTGAGTACTGTGTAGTTTTGTTGAGCATCTTTTCAATAAACACTTATTTGAACAAACTGTATCTTATTTTGTATCACTGTCCTTCCTTCTGGAGCATGGCTACTTTAGTTCCCCATGGTCACTGTGTGTGTTGTAAAGTAACCACCGCTCCAAGCTTGCTCTCATGATGGACTACAATCTCATGTTTAGTTTACTAATTTGTATGGAGATCATATTCCATCCCGGGAGTGAGCTTGGAGTGGTGGCTACTTTACAACACACACAGGGACCATGGGGAACAAAAGTAGCCACGCTCCAGAAGGAAGGACAGTGTCCGCACCAATTCAGAGATGATTTGTGGATCTGCAGCCGAGTGATGCACATATAAGATACATTTTTGTTAATCTTTGAGGTACTAGAATACATTTTCAAGATTTAACTCCTGAGTTTAGTGTCCTTTTTTTTAACGAAAAAAATTAGAGCCTGATTAGTTACTTCCCTTTTTAGCATTCCATAATGGAACCAGGAAGAAAACACTTTGCTCCCATGCAGTAGAAGCTTCACCAGAAAATGGACTAGCATTATTTTGTTGTATTTGTTTATTGCATCATTTTATTATGTTGTGGTGTTTTTGTTTTGTTTTTTTAATAACAGAAAATGGTTAGAACTAGTTTTTTTTTTGTCATTTTTCCTTGTTTGTATATGTGTTTTTGTGTCAATTTTCTACAGTATGTGTCCCAACTTAAATAATATGTGGGGAAGAGCATTAAGAAATGTTTTGGATATGTGGGGATGTAGGGGATGGTCGCTGTAAACCAAACTTTCTCTTTTTTACAACCATATTTCCTTTACGGGTCTTAATTGATTAATAATATATTGGGATAGGCCATATGTTCTGGATTTGTAGCTGATTGTGCTATTTAAAGAGTACTGGATTTTGTTATTTATCAATGTGGCCTGATGGAGTGAATGATGTGCTAGTGTTAAACACTCTTACTTATGACTTTGCATATTGGCATGTCACTAAAGCACTCGGAGGATAACGTCAAACACCATTTTGAGTACACCAGATTTCTTATTCTTGTTTAATTGCCGGTTACACTGATGTGCTAAGACTCCTGTTCTGTTTTTGGTACATAGCCTAATTCCTTTTTGGTAACGCCAAATCTTACAAGTGTGTCACAATGAGGAACATAGAGCAGAATGCATCTACACTGCTGAGGAGATTGAGAAATATATTCTTCCCTGCAGACACATCAAAAACCTTTGGTGATGACACTTCTTAGGATCTAGGTTTTAAAGCTTGAAGTGGACCTTTACCCCCTTTTATTAAAAAATCACATCAGCATATTGCTCTGCATGCTGATTTAAAATCATCTTGCATGCATTAGTTAAACATGTTTTTCATTTACAAATAGAATTTATCTACTTCCTGGTCCACTTCTGGCACAAATGATGTAATGTGCCAAAGTGTTGCATCCTGTGAAGGTTACATCAGCAGAAC